GTTTTGTTGATGATTTCATTTTAATTTCAAATGGTTCCATTAAGAATGTTAAAACTTTAATGAAATTCCTTTCTAACTTTCATGATCTTAGTGGTTTAGCTGTTAGCAAAGATAAAAGCAACTTTATTATTGGCAGCTCGATTAATCAGAATAGAGTTCACACTATTCATAGGGTTTGTGATTTCCAATAAAAAAATTTACTGATAAAATACCTGGGAACGCCGATTTATAAAGGTAAAAATAAAAATTTTCTTTTTGAAGATATTTTTACTATCGTTCAGAAAAAGCTGGCTAATTGGTTGTCTAATTTTTTATCTTTTGGTGGTAGATTGGTTCTTATAAAATCTGTTCTTAATTCGATCATATTTATCTATTTCATACTTTAATGTCCACTATTACTATTTGTAGTAGATTAGAGAGAATGATAAACAAATTTTTTTGGGGTTCTAAGTTCAATAGCAATGGCATACGTTGGTCCTCTTGGCCTAAGAATTGTGGAGTTTTGAATGAAGGGGGGTTAAGTTGCAAGAACTTGGTTGATACTGCTAAAGCTTTCTCCCATAAACTGTGGTTTTCTTTTAGATATAATATTAGTTTATGGGTCCGTTATATGAATGTTAAATACTGCAATAATTTGCATCCGAGTCTTTATTTTTACAAAAATGCTAATTCTATGACTTGGAAAAGATTGTGTAACATTAAGTGGGAAGCTTAACAGTTAATTCAATGGGGTTTGAAAAAAGGTGATATTTATTTTTGGCAAGATAACTGGTTGAGAAATATGTCTATTGACAAGTTTTTAAATACACATACTATTGACTCTGTTAAAGTCTCTTTTTTCTTTGATGAGAATAGATGGAACATTATTAAGCTTAGGGAGTTTGTTCTTGTATTTTTAGTGGAAATTATCTTGAATATTTCTTTATAAGTTCATTGCAAAGATAAAATTTTATTCTCTCTTTCTTCTTATGGTAAATTTCAATTGAATAAGGTTGGGATATTATTAGAATCAAGCTTGACAAATCACTTATTTTTGTTGCTATTTGGCATAACACTATTCCAATTTCTTATTCTACTCTTGTTTGGAGATGTCTTAAAGGTTTTCTTCCGATTGATGCTCTTCTTCAAAAAAAAGGTATTACCCTCTCTTCTAAATGCTTATGTTGTTCTAATGTGGAGAGTATTGATCATCTTTTTGTTAATGGTGTTATTGCTAAGAAGGTTTGGTTTTATTTCAATGGCATTGCCAACAAAAATATTCCGACCCAACACAATAGCATTTTTTTTATATTAGAGAGTTGGTTTCATACTTCTAAAGGTCATATTTGTAAATTGATTCATATCCTTATTTTCTGATATATTTGGAAAGCTAGAAATGAGGCCAAACACGATGCGATCAATATGGATGCTTCTCTTATTATATCGAATGTGAAAAGTAAAATTATGCAGCTATATACCTACAAGGTGATTTCTTTTAAGAACTTTCTTAATTGTTGAGATTTGGCTGTTGCTCTTGGAATAAATTTGAGTCATGTGAGTTCTAACCCGGTTGATAGGATTATGAAATGGGTTAAACCTAAACCTCTATATATTAAACTTAATTCTGATGGGTCTGTTGGCCCGAGCTTTGCTGGTGCGGGTGGTGTCATTCATGACCATTTGGGAGATGTCTTGGCTGCTTATGCTGCTCCTTTACAGCTCTCCGATGTTGTGACGGCTGAGCTTAATGCTTTGTCTTATGGACTGGATATATGTCTTAAGTTGGGTTTTACTTTTGTTTGGATTGAAGTGGATGATATGCTTCTTGTCCATATCATTAATGACGCTGTGCCTGGTAATCCTCAAAACTTTTACCTTATTAGAAAAATTAAGAGTTCCCTGGCTATGCTTAATTATTATATATCTCACATCTACTGGGAAGGTAATGTGTGTGCTGATTGGTTAGCCAATAAGGGTTGTTATCTTAATAATTATGAGGAATTTGATATACATAACTTAAACCCGGTCTTAAAGGGTATGATTTTACTTGAAAAAGCTGGTTTACCTTATATCCGCAATGGTTGATGACTACTATTTCCTGGTGCCCTTGCACATGTCGGGGTGTTTTTTGTCTGCTTGTCTTTGTCTTTGTCTCTGGTTGATGTTGAGTGTCTTTTTTATGGGCTGGTTTAATGTTCCTAGTTGGTGGGTCTTTACGAGTATTTCTTTGTTTCTAGCCTGTCTGTGCTGGTTGTTGGAGGTCAGGGTTGTTTTATTTTGTATTGGCTGGAGTTGTTTTTCTATGAACATGGAGAATCAGGTGGTTGTTATGGCCCTGGGTTATACTCTAATCTGGTATGTGGATCTTGCGGGTGGCCTGCCGCCCTGTTCTAATGCTCTTTCTCATGGTGCTGGTTTTTACGAGGTTAATCTCTATGTGAGATTTCTGATCCTTTTTACTATTGCTGATTTTAGTATGAACTGTGAGAATTGTGATGTTTGCTATTGTTATGGTCAATTTTGGTTTAATGGTTTCTTATGGTTTGCCCTTAATAGCCTTCTAACCTTTTTGGCATGGAAATTTTTCTATGATATCGTGGATATGAGGGAGGTATTATTCAGGTGATTTTTCTGCATGGTTGGAGTATTAGCTATATTTATTTGGCCCTGCAGGGTATGCTGGGGTTATTTTATGCTCATAGTAACAATTTTTCCAACAGGCATATTATTGGGTCCTTTTACTGTGTTATTTACTATCGTTCTAATATTTCTTTTTGGAGAGTATCTTGCAGGGAAAATTTATCTTTTCGATTAGGGAGGTTCAATGGTTGCAAGGTACTCTTGGTTTGTATTTTTCAATGCTATTTCAATTTTTATCAATATTTTTGCAGGAAGAATGTGCTAAACGGGATTAATCTGCTCTTCCTTTTTTGGGTGCTGTTTACTCACAGCCCGAGACTTTATTTATGTCTTTTATGTAATCTTAGGAAAAAGAAACCCCGGCTCTTAGGTTTTATTTCTTTTTTTCTCTTGTAGCTCTTATGAGCAGTAGCGAGCTGGAGGATCCTTCTAAGGATTTTGTAACCGAATTTTAGATATTAATGCGTAGGCCCCATAGTGGATTTTAATAAAAAAATGCAAAGCCATGCATGCACGTGTAGTCTACAGAATGGCACAACGTCACACGTGTGCGCTCTTGCACTCACGGTACTGTGCCAACGTCAGGAACAATTATTTGGTTCGGTGAACGTACGCTCCTCTACGTTCGGCCACCAACCTTTTAGCGCCACGTAGCACGAAGAAAAGTCGTCGACCCGACCCGCTATTTTTTGGGTTCTAGCGCGTGCGTTTTTTTTAATTCCTTGACGAGCGA